CCTTGAAAATAGAGTAACAACAGTTTTTCACAGTTAAAGTGGAGAAAATGTGTAGTCTCCACCCGAAATTAGGTTAAATCTATTTTTCTGCCGACGAAATTAAAAAGTCAGTACAATGTTCATATAAACTTTTCAAATATTGGCGTTGAAAAACTATTTAATACTTTTGTATTGAGATAATAAAATAATTTTTACATTTTGTATTAAGTATTTTACAAGAAGGGCACTTTATTTTAACGATTTTATGACACGTGTCAACTATCTTAAAACTAACTTCAGCCCGTGACTAAAAACCTGTTGATAACTTCAGCCTGTGACCATAAAGCCATAACTTGTCACTGGGTAATTAAAAGATTACTTAGTGTCGACACATGATCATGGAAACTGTTTCCAGGAAACATGTACGATAATGGGCGTTTTTAAAGGTGGGAGTAGAAAAAATCATCGGGACCTTGAACTTGCTTACATGTACGCTTTTGAATAATTATAATTATCGGACAATAAGGAAATCATTTAATTAATAAGTGCTTAATTGGTTTGATATGAACACGGGCAATTTATTTCTGTAATTCGAAGAAGTATTTAACTTGTAGGTAATTATTGTTACGTAAGTAAATACAAAGGTAGTTAACATTTAATATAATTTTATTAAATGTTAATGAAGATAATTGATGCAAATTTTCCATATCAATGTACTTTTCGGGGAAATTTTGCCATGTGTTAATGAATTTTGCCCTTGCATTAGGCAAAGTTTATATGCTGTTTTTTATAAAACTGACAATATTTTTTATCAACAAATATCATCACGTTTATCAAAATTGTGGAAATACAAGTCCAGTTGAAATGATTGAGTAAAGGAAATACTATAATAGCGTAGTTACTTTTAATTTCTAAAAATGTTACTCATATGGACTTGCTGGGTTTGATATAAGACCCCTGTTGTGTGGATATCTTTTTTGTTGCCTAATTAGTCTATTAAAATAGCATTTAAAAAACAGCTGTTCTTAAATAATTTGAAAAAAACTGAAATCTTGTCAAAACCAAAAATCGTTATAACTTCGTCATTCCTGGGAATTAAAAAAAAAAGTAATTTTAAACATACACATTTTCATCCAATTTGTGATTTTTCTCGTTAACTAGATTTTGAGTAACCACCACTATCTTTTGTAATTCCTATGGCCTCCACACAGTTGTCTGAGAGGTAAATTTACGCGGCAAAAATTATTCTTTAAATATTTTTCCGAAGACGTGTGTTTTTTATGTTCTTAAGGGTGCTAAATTTGCTTTTTATATAATTTTTTTTCAAAAATATTTGGTATTCAGGGGGCTAGTCTAGCTAAAGGATATAAAATGAATTTTTTTAATATTTGAGTATTTTTTTGTTTTTTTATGTTTTATATTTAATAATTTAAAAAAATGTTTATAGTTCGTACCAGGCGGCGATTGCAACATGGCGCAAGCATAATTTTTTATCATGAATAACCGAAAAACCATTACCTTCAAAGTATCAAAAATATATTATTATATCAACATTTTACATTTCACCTTATTTCTTTTTAACAACCCTTTAGCCAATATCGTGATGGGTGACAATAGGAAAACTTATTATTTTTATTATGCGTTAAATACTCATGCTTGTTTTAAAAATGAGATTCCTATAGAACAATAATTACACTGTGCTCGAATCGGAAACTTTTTTTTTCTAACAAAAATGGCTTCTGGGTGGTTAATGTATTTGGGCATGCTAAATTCAGTGGTGAAATCCGTTTTTCTAAGTTAGGTCATTTTTTCGAGATATTTAAATTTAAAGATTTGACATAAGAGTACATAAAATTGCTATGGGGGGAATTCGATCAAATATCCATTAGGGTGTTTCATTTAAACCGAAAAATTTTTTTTCTTGCTGACACATGAAAATTTTGTTTTTTAGGTTGAAAAAAAATTCCCTGAAAATTTGAGCCCTTAACTTTTATTCTAAGTACTTCCTTTTTAATTTTGTAGTTTTTCCATATAAAAAGCATGTATTTTTAATCATTTTTACTTTAAATTTCTATATTTTGGCTGGGTTTTGAATTATAATTTTTATCACCATAATTTCCTACATAGTATTCACGGTTTTTGAAAGGCCCTGCATCAATTTTGTTTTTGATTTATTTAAGTTGATTGTAGTAGCTCCAAAAGTCGTTTTTTCACTTTTTTTCACATATTTTTGAGAAAATAGAGCGAATGACTGGTTTTACCGAAAAATTTTAAATAAAAAAGTTGTAGAAAATTTAATTTTTGACAAAAAAGTTTTTTACGTTCATATCACTAAAGTGCTTTGTTTAAGAAATATAAGCAATTCAATAATCAAAAACAAAGAAAAAATAGGTTTTATTGAAATTTATGTAATTTGATTAAACAACTATATATTGCTTATATCTCTTAAACAAAGCACTTTGGTGATATGAACGTGAAAACCTTTTTTGTCAAAAATTAAATTTTCTACAACTTTTTTATTTGAACTTTTTCGGTAAAACCAGTCATTCGCTCGATTTTCTCAAAAATATGTGAAAAGAGTGAAAAAACGACTTTTGGAGCTACTACAATCAACGTAAATAAATCAAAAAACAAAATTGATGCAGGGCCTTTCAAAAACCGTGAATACTATGCCGAAAATTATAGTGATAAAAATTATAATTCAAAACCCGGCCAAAATATAGAAATTTAAAGTAAAAATGATTAAAAATACATGCTTTTTATATGGAAAAACTACAAAATTAAAAAGGAAGTACTTAGAATCAAAATTAAGGGCTCAAATTTTCAGAGAATTTTTTTTTCAACCTAAAAACTAAAATTTTCATGTGTCAGCAAGAAAAAAAAAATTTCGTTTTAAATGAAACACCCTAATATCCATTTTTCTTTTAAATATACACTGTATAAGACTTTTTTATGATTTTTCGATTTTTTTTAATAAATAACATTTTTTTCCCACCTTAAAACAGTTTTTATTTAATTATATTTTTTTAACATTTTATTTAAATACATTTAAAACAGTTTTAATGTTCAAATTGTTATTTACGCAAAATAATACGAAAATTAGGGGTACTGAGCAAAACTATATTTTTTAAAAATAAAATATGACATCTATATTTTATTCTATTTTTGTAAAATATGAATATACGATTAAATTGCACCAACGTTAGTTTAATAAAAGATTAACATTTAAGCGAATTGGAGCACTTAACGTCAAATGTTTAACATAAAATATTTCGAAAAAATGACCTAACTTTAAAAAATGGATTTCACCACTGAATTCAGAACACCCCAAATATGTTAAATACCCAGGTCCCATTTTTGTTAGATTTTTCAACTAGCACAGTGTTATTGTACTACCCTCTTAAAGCACTTTGCTGTTTTTTTTATTTTCTGAGCACCCTGGACATTTAATTAAAAATGTTTGTGTAGGAATCTTATTTTTGAAACAAGCAAGAGTTTTTAAAAAACATGTTTTTTTTTCGTTTCATACCTAATAAAAAAGTTTTTTTCTATTGTCATTACCACAATGTATAATATACAAAGTATATTAAAAAAATAATATTATGTAATAGGAGTAAAGAAAATTGTATTACCATTCTTAAATGCAATAATTATTGTCAAATTTAAAAAATTTATTACTTTTATGACCAGGTTAGCGGTAATTTGTCGGCCATTTTTCATTATTGCATAACTCTCTTATAGGCGCATAAAGGCAGATATTGTATAAGGTCGGAGCTGGAGGTTCATATTTTCGAATGCCCTATGTGGTTCTGGGCAAGTAATTATAAATTTTTACTTATATTCCATTTATTATTTGTAATTACAAAACTTTGGAATTTGTAGTTTAAAAAAGGCTGTATTTTTGGCAAAAAAATCCAAAAAAGACATTTTAAAGTTGTATTTGTACTCAACTTTATACCTACTATAAATTTTTGAAACTAATTTTCACTATTATATTTATGCAACACCTTTTTTACACGAAAAAGACAAGATTCCGAAAGTAAGAGTATTTTTTACAATCTTTTCATGTATTTAGGTTTAAAATCTTAGGTAATAATCTGTCACGAACAATAAAGAGGCATCAAAATGCGTTTTTAAAGTGTTTTAAAAATTGGATTTTTGCCGCGTAAATTTGCCTCTCAGACCACTGTGCGCCATATTGAAATTAAACATGTTTACATAGGTAGTAAAAAAATCAAGAAATTTAACGATGTATTAATCTATATACTATATATAAGTTATAAGATATGGCGGCCATCATAAAAATAAGTAGGTGGTGGTAACTCAAAACATAGTACTTAACAAAGAAATTAGATGAAAATGTAGATAAATTTGTATGTTTACATGTAAAACTTACTTTCTTTTAAAATTCCCAGGAATAACAAAGTTATAAAGATGTTTGATTTTATTTAAATATGAGAACCGCTGGATTTTTTATTTAAAATTTAATTCAACAGGCTTGTAATTATCCAACTTTTCTTTAATTTAACCAATCTTGTAGCCAATAAAAAAGTCCCCTAGAAGTTTACACATTGAAGTGTACTTGGTGCACCCAGTATAAAGTATTTTATAATTATCTTATAATTATGTTCTGTAAAAGGTACCCAACTAATAAAAATAGGTATAAATTCATTAAACTATATCAAACAGACTGCAGAAAATTGTATTATTGACAATTAAGTATATATTTTTATATATAGGTATATTAAATTTTAAGGGTTTCATTTTTTGTGGAATGAGGTCTGAAATTACTAATATTTACAAAAACGTTTTTATCTCCAGTAAAATTTTTAATTTTGGCGCATACGCCTCTTTGATTTGATGCACGCAATATAAAATAATTTTACCTAAACATAAATATGTATCTACTATGCAAATTTAAATACATAGTATGTAAAATTCTAACATGATTGTGGTCCAAATATAGATAAGATATAGTTGCGAAATACAATGCAATTGCAAAACTTCGTAGACTTACTTACCTCTTGTTGTATCCGTATATGTTGAGAATGTTTGTAAACTTTCGAAACATCGACAGTGCCACGTTCCATGACACACACTATTAAATCACCTACTACCTGCAATCACACACTGTTAAATTAAACAAATATTTAGTGTGGTCAGTCCTGTGGTTTTACTCAATTTACCTACTAAAGATACGGTGAGACTTTTTCAAAATCACACTTTTAAATACTGAACGAGCCTTGACTTCACTTCCAGATGTTGTAATTTTGCATATTTATGGACGATAAACAAAATAAAAATTTATAAATAGCCGCGGCACCGCAACTTATATTAAATTTCAACAGCTATTTACCTTTCAACGTATTTTAATATATTATACTATGGCAAACTGCTATCAAAAGTATTTATATTACAATGTTTGTAATTATAATTGCTTTATTACCTACCTGCGTATTAATATTATTTAATTTATACTCACCAGAGTTTCAAATGCGAAGGTACAACGCGCAATCGCTAGATTGAATTCAAAATTTCAAGGTAATGTAAAAATTAATAATAAAAAAGTCAAAAATTATGACACTTGTAAAAAGCGACATTTTTCTCCATGGAGCCTCTATGTAGGCTCCATGATTTTCTCTTTCAAAAAGTTTTTAAACAAAATAAAATAAAAACAATTAAAAACCGAACTTACAATAATGGCGAATGCACCGGGGTTAAAATTTAATGTAATTGTTTGGAATTTAATTTCAAGAACTGTCTGAAAATGTCTTTAAATCCTTAAAGTGTTTTAGAACTGTTTAAAATGTCTCAAAACTGCCTTAGAAGTTATAAGTTATAACTGTCCCGAAACTGTTCTAAAAATGTTTTAATGGTCTTAAACCCAATTGTTAAGAACTATCCTTTTAACTGTCTAAGCTGTCTTTAATAATATATCTATTTAAATAGTTTAATAAATAACAGTAGGCCCGGCCTACTAGGCCTACTCTGCCGTGATAGCAAATTCAGTGGTGCCAATGTAGTGCCAAAATACATTTTCCAGTGATTATTCACACTTTTAAATTTTTGGTTTTGCACATTGTTTCATGTTCCATTTCCCACACTCCGCACATCATTTTTTTAAAAGATTGCACATTGTTCTCAAATAATTTTGCACATTTTATTTCCGCCAGGGAAAGTCAATAATACAAAACTACCCTGTAAAAATTCAGATTTTTAAATTAATTATTAACCTGAGCCCTGACCACTTTTAATAAAAAAAATTGAAACAAATACTAAAAAAGTGTGAAAAACTCATAATTTAAAAAAAAAAGTTTTAAACGAGGATTTTTCTTACTTTTTTATTATGCTAAAGGTACTCCCAAAAATTCAGGATTTAATATTAATTGTTAACCTGAGCCCCGACCACTTTTAATTAAAAAAATTGGGACAAATCCTAAAAAATGGAACAACTCCTAAAAAAAATCATAATTAAAAAAAAATTAACGAGGGTTTTTATTACTTTTTTTACTATCCTGAAGGTACTCCCAAAAATTCAATTTTTAAATTAATTTTTAACCCGAGCTTCGACCACTTTTTAAAAAAATAATAGAACATATATATCCACAGACCATATCCGACAAATTAACCATCAAATTGACATTTGACAGTCCTGATCAGGGCCGGCAGCTTTTCATTTTGACGTGTGGTGCTCATCTACAGTTGTTGGTAGCAGTGGTTAATGGATGGGGGCAGTGGCGGCTGGTGGATTTTGGGTATAACGATATCTCAATTATTAGATATGGGACCCACACCAAATTTATATGAGTTTATACATTAAATAAAAAAGTTCTGCGCAAGAGGAATTTAATTTGAAGTTTGCGAAAAAAAGATAAATTTTTGCTCGGCCGTACCGGCCCCATGGCGCCCCCAATAAATATAATATAAATTTAATTGGTGCATTTTATTATTTACCATAATTTATCGACAAATTTCAAATTTCATTTAAAAAATCCAAATTATACCGATTTTATACCATTTTAAATTTTTAATATTTCTTTTCAAAGAAATAATAAAAATTTAAAATGATATAAAATCTGTATTATTTGGATGTTTTAAATAAAATTTTAAATTTGTCGATAAACTATGGTAAATAATAAATTGCACCAATTAAATTTATATTACCTATATTTATTTGGTGTGGGTCCCATATCTAATAATTGAGATATCGGTATACCCAAAATCCACCAGCCGCCACTGATGGGGGTGTGGGTTTTTTTTTCCTTGGGGGTTGCGGGAAGGAGAACAAAATAAAATTGGAATAGTTTTTTAGTCAATTTATTTATCAAACTCAGTCATATTTTATATACATGGAGAGCACACTACCAATTTTAGCACTAATAAACCCCCCCGGAATGATTAAATTTAGTTTATATAGTTTTTTCGAAAAAGACAGGATAGGTATATTAGGGTAGAGAGGGGGAATGGCGACCACCTAAGAAAAATTAACCATAAAATAATTTTGAACCAATATTTTTACTTTTTGAAAATCGGAATAGAAAGACTAAAGTCTAAAGATTATAATAATATAATAAAAGATTATAATAATATAATAATTATTCATGCATCAATTCAGAAAAACAACTCGAATAGTTTTTCCAAAAAAAAAAAATTCTTATCAAAATGCTTTTGGTCGTCATTTCCCACGTAACGGGGTAATTACTGTGAGATGTATGTAACATTGGCAACACTGCCTTCCCTCCTACTGTGATATTAATAAACCAGTTAACATCTAGCAGCGTTTGAATGAACATCATCCCTACCGTTATTACCAACCTGACGATCCACATTACCACATGGCGCAGTAAGGTTATAAAAGAACCACGTTGACTGTAAAAATTCTTTGGAATTGTATAACATTAAAATGGATTTTCGCGGAATACCACCGATGAAAGTTGCAGGCAATCAAGCAGAAAACTGGAAATTTTGGAGACAAAGGTTTGAAACATATCTACTTGCAACTGAAATCAGCAAAAAAGAAGAAACTACCCAATGTGCCCAGCTCCTCACATTAATTGGAGAAGAAGGCATTAGAATATACAATACTTTTAACATCCTCGAAAATGAGAAGAATAAAATCAAACCCCTGCTCGAAAAGTTTGAATCACATTTTAACCCACGCCGCAACATAACCTATCAAAGGCATAAACTTCTTACGTGCAAACAACGAGAAGGAGAAACTGTAGAACAATATATTACAGAACTTAAGAATTTAGCTCTGGCATGTGAGTTAAAAGATTTGAAAGACAGCTTAGTAAAAGATATATTAATATGTGGATTACGATGTCAGATAATGAGAGAAAGACTACTGCAAGAAGATCATAAAGATTTGGAAGATGCTATTAAACTTTGTAATAACATGGAAAAAACGAGAGAGTGTAATAAAGAAATCAGTGGAGTTCAAGATAATCTACCCGTTGATGCCATAAGACGTTGGTCAGATGCCAAACCAGCAAGGAAGTATCCCATCAAGAAGTACCAGTCCAAAGGCTATCAAAAAGTTGAAAATAGAGGTCAAATGTACAGCAAGAGGTGCCAAAAATGCAATCGAAGCCATGAATATGGAAAATGCCCAGCTCATGGACAAAAATGCAACAAATGTGGGACAATGAATCACTTTGCTTCCTCATGCAAATTTAAAAGGGATGGTAAATTTTATAAACATAATGTAAATTCAGTAGTCGCTGTAAATAAATCAAATAATAATTTTTTGAATAATTTTAGAGATGTTAATTCTAGATATGATGATTTAAATGTGAGTGAGACATATAGCAATAATGAGTTTCTATTTATAGGTAGTATTGAAACTTTGAGTGGTACAGAGGACAATAAAGTCATGGAATCATGGGTTGAGGCCATTCAAATCAATGATAAACAAGTAATGGTCAAATTAGATACAGGTGCTGTAGCCAATATCCTGCCTCTAGAAATCTTTCGTAAGTTAGAATTTAAACATGATAATCTTGTAAAATCTACTATAAACTTGACTTCATATACGGGAGATAGTCTGCCTATTTTGGGTAAATGCAAACTGACATGTAGATATAATGAAATATCACAAGAATTGACTTTTTATGTAGTCAATTTAAAGGGCTGTTGTATTCTGGGATTGAAAGGGTGTATTCAGTTAAACATGATTAAAAGGGTAGACTTGATTAAGGTTAAAAAACCAAACGATAGTATTTCACAATTAGTAAAAGATAATAATTTTCTATTTAAGGGAATAGGCTGTTTAGAAAAGCCATATAGTTTAGATTTAAAAGATAATGCAAAACCTATCATTTGTTTGCCTAGGCGAGTGCCGTTTGCCATTCAGAAAAAATTAAAAGAAAGTTTAGAACAACTTGAAAAAGATAATATTATAATTAAAGATGATACAAGTGCTGAATGGGTTAATCCCATAGTTATAGTTAGAAAACCTAATGGGGATTTAAGAATATGTTTAGATCCCAAATATTTAAATGAAAATGTCAAAAGACATATTTTCCACATACCAACTTTAGAAGAACTAACAATAAAGTTGGCAGGCTCTAAAATATTTAGCACCTTGGATATGTCTCAGGGATTTTTGCAAGTTAGGTTAGACTCAAATAGTTCAAAATTATGTACATTTGCAACACCTATGGGCAGATATCGGTTTTTACGTCTGCCATATGGCCTAACTAGTGCACCCGAAGTATTTCAGGAACGTATGACCGATATTTTTGGGAGCCTAGAGAGCTGTGCAGTGTACATAGATGACCTAATACTTTTTTCTAAAACGGAACAAGAGCACGTAGAACTTTTAAAAGATGTTTTTGAAAGAGCAGAAAAACATAATTTGAGATTTAATATAAATAAATGTAAATTCGGTCTTTCAGAGGTTAAATATATGGGTCATAATTTTTCCAAAACTGGAATTACACCTGATGGTTCTAAGGTAGAAGCCATTAAACACTTGCCAGTGCCTAAAGATAAAAAAGACTTGCAAAGATTTCTGGGAGTAGTAAATTATGTAGGGAGATTTGTGGAAAATCTGTCCGAAAAAACGGCAGTTTTAAGGCCTTTACTTAAAAAAGAAATAGTATTTGTGTGGGATGAGAGTCATCAAGAGTGTTTTGAGAATTTAAAAAAGATTATTGCTGAAGCTCCTTGCTTAAGGTATTTTGATCAAAGTCAAGAAATTACAATTTCAGTAGATGCTTCTCAAAATGGCATGGGGGCATCTTTAATGCAAAATGGTATGCCTTGTGCGCATGCCTCACGAGCTTTTACATCAGCACAAAAGAATTATGCCCAGATTGAGAAGGAACTATTGGCCATTTGGTTTGGTTGTGTTAAATTTCATCAATATGTTTTTTCTCGTAAATTTCAAGTAGAAACAGATCATAAACCTTTAATTTCTATCATAAATAAACCTATAAACTCTTGCCCAGCACGTTTACAAAGAATGCTCATTCAACTTAAAAAATATGATTTTAAACTCATTTATAAACCAGGAAAACACTTGATAGTGGCAGATGCTCTATCTAGAGCATTTATAAATAAACAATTTGATGAAAATATTGACTTAGAACTGGAGGCTCAAGTTTGTCTAATTTCAAATAATCTAAATGCAACAAATGATAAGGTAATAGAAATTAAAAAGTTATGTAAAGTAGATTCAGAAATTAATATTTTAAAAACCCAAATCATAAATGGGTGGCCCAAAAACATTAAAGATCTCCCAGATATCATAAAATTTTATTATAAATACAGGTCAGAACTAACAGTGGCGGACGATCTTGTGTATAAGGGGACAAAACTAATAGTACCAAAGGATTATCGTAAAGAAATATTAAAAAGGTTACATGTAGGACACTTAGGTGTTAATAAGTGCACAAATTTAGCTAATAACACATTTTACTGGCCTGGCATGACAAAGGCTATAAGAGATATGGTATTGGCTTGTAGTATCTGCCAGCATCACGGTAAATTTAATAGACCAGAACCAATGATTCCACACGAAATTGTCAAAATACCGTGGTATAAAGTAGGTGCGGATATTTTTCATTTTAGTAACTCATCATTTTTACTGCTTGTTGACTATTACTCTAAATTTGTAGAGATAAGAAACTTGAATAGGGATTTAACCAGTGAAAACGTTATCTTAAACTTAAAATCTATATTTTCTTGTCAAGGAATACCTCATATACTAATCACTGATGGAGGTCCAGAGTTTTCAAGTTTCTTGTTTAAACAATTTGCTAAAGAATGGGAATTTAAACACAATTTTACTTCACCAAGATATTCACAATCCAATGGTGAAGTTGAACGAACCATTCAAACAGTAAAATCAATTTTAAAAAAGTGTAAAGCCGACAATACAGATCCTTACTTAGCTTTGTTAAATTTAAGAAATGTACCTTTGGATGGGCAACATTCATCTGCAAATATATTGTTCAGCAGAAATCTAAGAGATCTTTTACCAAAACAAAATAAATTTTATGATTCAAAAGTGTATAATAAACATAAATTTGACAATTTTATAGATAATAGTAAAAGCAAACAAAAAGAATATTTTGACAAAAAAGGCGTAAAAGAACTCTCAGAACTCAAAAATGGGACGAAAGTATTATTTAAAAAATCTATTAATGACAACTGGATTAGAGCCATAGTTTTAGATAAAGTAGGTATAAGATCATATAAACTAAAAGTGAACGATGGTAGAATTTTTATTAGAAATAGAAAATTTATAAAAGTGTATGTAGAACCTAAAGATACAAAAAAGACTGTACAATCATTTACTGATTTTAACGTAAGGAAAAATAATGACAAGTATAACTATCAATACATAGAACCTGTAAATAACACTTCAAATAACTCAAAGATTGTAATTCAGGAAGAAGTTAGGGATAATAACAAACAAGCAAGAAATCAAAATACAGATTTTGATATAAATTCTAGTTCTGAAGGTTTGACAGATAATTCAAATGAAAATTCCTATAGTAGCTTAAGTCCAAAAACACCTAGTACAGAATCTAGTTCTAATTCAAATCTAAATGAATTTAAAGAGTCTTCTATGCAAAATAGAACTACAAGGTCAGGTAGAGTTTCTAAAAATCCCTCAAAGTTTTCACAATTTATAGTTTTTAAATAAATAACTGTAGGTATACAAAAGGAAGATAAGTATAGGAAAATAAAACAAGTTATCATATCAAATAATTAATTGTAATAATACTACAAAAGTAAAATTGCAACTGTGTATGTATTTGTGTATGTATTTTTATATATAATTTAGATAAGTATAGGAAAAGAAAACAAGTTATAATATTAAGTAATTTAATTGTAAATAGTACTACAGAAGTGTAATTGTAACTGTGTATGTATATGTATTTGTATATCTAATTTATTAAATTAAAAAGGGAGATGTGAGATGTATGTAACATTGGCAACACTGCCTTCCCTCCTACTGTGATATTAATAAACCAGTTAACATCTAGCAGCGTTTGAATGAACATCATCCCTACCGTTATTACCAACCTGACGATCCACATTACCACAATTACGACCAAGTGCAGGGTAATTACGACGAAGTGCTGTTTAATCGCAACCAGGTATATTTGACTTGTGATGCTATAAGACATTTGACTTATGTTGCTATCAAAAAATTTATTAAATTCATAACAAACTAAAATTAACAGGTATTCAATAATAATAACAAAACAACTAATTATTTACTTGAAAATATTACAAGAATTTACCCTGCTTTAAATAAACACGAATTGACTGAAGCCAATGTAGAATTTCTGGTTACCGACGGTTTTGGTTAGGTTAGGCTACTAAAGGCTAGGTGACGCTAATAAAATATTGTACATAAATATTACCATACTATGAAATTTTTGATGATCGTTATTACCCGCTGGTCGTCATTCCCCCACTTTACCCTACTGCCACATCGGACGTTTTTAGGGTTTACCACCTGCCATTTCTTGGATTAAGGGTTACCAGCATTAAAAATACGGATTTAAAATAATCGTTCTAGATTTTGTTACGAGAGACAATTAAAACAGAGTTACTCTAGGATTCGAACTAACTTACCTTTGTTGATAAAAAGTCGGGTATCTATCCACTAACAAAATTGGTGGTAGCAAACAGGAACTCAGAGATAATAAACAAACTGCACGAACTGTAAATAATAATAATAATATAACTCAAAGTTTGGTCGGTTACCGTCGGTATAGTAGAAATACCCTAAATACACATCGCGACGTGTCGGTATGTTATTCCTACTATTCCAAGATACATACTATACCGACCGACTTTGATACTTTAAACTTTGGATTCCTCAGCTTTAACCGTAAATTTGTAGAGGGCGTTAGTGTGTATCCCTGGCTACCAGGATAAAAAATTTAGAGACCGCAAAAGAAATGCAATTTTTCTGCTGAAGATACGTGTGGTGCTGAGCACCACCATTTTCCTTTACGTGTGGTGCTTGAGCCCGCGAGCACCGCTATTGTCGCCGGCCCTGGTCCTGATCATAGATAACAAAGCCTTTGGTCCTGATAGAATAAGGTTTATTTTTACAAAAGAGGATTAAAATGATTGTTCTTGCCACCTTGAGGTCTCTTTTAAGGCTTGCAAGTGTCTCTGTAAGAAACACAACGTTTAAAACGATTATTAATCTGTACAAACCCAAAGCACAAGAATTGTAAACAACAAAAATGGCCGCCATTAAATGATGTGCAGTGTTGCAGTGATTTTTAGTATGTTTAGTACGAGATCGAACAGACCTTGTTGAGTGGATTGTGGAACAGACCTTGTTGTGTGGATTGTGGGCGTAACCACAGATTTAAAAAATGATAAAACCCACTAGATTTCCGGTTAATTATTTTATGTTGGCATCCACGCACGCTAACTTCAAATTTAAAGCGCATGTGCATAAAAGTTTTATGCACATGCGCTTTAAATTTGAAGTTAGCGTGCGTGGATGCCAACATAAAATAATTAAATAAAACAGCGGTAAACGTCAACTTTTACAAATTTATCTTGAAAAATTCTAAAAAATGTTTAAGTTGTTGCATTTAACCGGCAAACGTAGCGTATTTGTGAATATTTATGCGAGAACGTCTTTAACACCTGGAATTTCAAATTATTGCACTAAAATTACCATTAACAATGAAAAAGATGAAAAAAAAACGGTTACTGAGAAAATGTCCAATGTTACATGGGATACGTATAAATTAGAAACGCCTGGGACGGAAATCTGTATACCAGAAGGGGAAATAGAACCTCCTCCAGTGGATATAACAGAAAAGGTTTGTGATCAAGATGAAGGTGGTGGTTCACAAAGTGTCCCACCTAGATTTAGCCGTTGTGAACCTTCTGAAGTAATATGGGCATTTGTGCCTAGGGAATGGTATGACTTTTTTGTATGCAAAACTGGCGCTACTGGCTTTTATACATTCCTTTTTACTGTAAGTACTTACCTGGTTAGTAAGGAAATATTAGTTTTGGAGCATAATTTTTATAATGGCTTGTCTATGGCCCTCTTGACTGGTATTTGTATTAAGTACATTGGGCCTTTAATGGCTAAATCACTTGATAAACTTATAGAGGATTATGAAAAAGCATGGGAGAAAAAGGAGTGTGATGACATCAAAGGCTTGGAGCAAAATATTTTGGACGAAGAATTTTCACAGTTTGAGGCTGATGGACAGATGATGGTTTTAGAAGCTAAACGGGAAAATGTTTATTTCCAGCTGGAAGATTGTTTTAGATTGAGACAAGTTGAAGTCCATGAGCAAGTTCTTAAACGACTTAACTACCAAGTTGATATTGCAAGTGTTCATAGAAAAATTACTCAGAAAAATTTGGTTGAATGGGTTCAGCAGGAAGTTATAAAACAACTTTCCCCAGAACTTCACGCAAAAATTCTTGATAAATGCATCACCGATATTTTAAGAGATATTGATGGAAATGCTAAAAAATCGGAGACTTCTTAAGTTTTGCTATATGTACTAATTTTTATATTTGTATTCTTAAAGTTTATAAATAAAATTCTTTCAATTTAAGACTATTTTTTATTAAATAATAAAACCTTAAAGGATGTGTTATTTTTTTACAATAGTATAAATATTTTAAATAAAAAAAAATATTTATTCACTTTTCTTTTTATTAAAAAATCGTGCAGTACAAAAAATAAATACTATTTGCAAAAAATAAACACAACAAAATTGTTGTTTTGATTATAAATAAGTACCTACCTACAATTACTACAAAAAAGTATTAAGAACATAGAACAAAAAAATCAACAATCTATGTTTTGTGGTCATCTATATAAATGTAAAAATAATTTATATGTTGTATGTAATGTATAATAAAGCTACTAATACTTTCATTTTGTGCGCCGTTTCTTTGTTTTTGGACGCGCGGTATCTTCTTCGTCTTCAATTGAGGAATCTTCACTCATCAGTTCTTCAGGGAGTTTTAACCCAACATCTTTGCATTTCTGTTTAAGGTATTTGGCAAGTTTTACACCACATCTAAAAAAAGCATCCAATATAAATATAATATATTATGCAAAACGAAAAATGCATTTTCGGATTTAGACCGTGTTAAAAAGGTTCATTGCAATATTATACACACTAAGCTTAAAGGAAAATATAATCACAAAAAAATCACGACAAAAACTGGGATTATTTTGGATGCTCTCATTATCATTTTCCCGTTCCTTAAATTCGTAATCAGCGACCGATAAAACCCATATATTTAAAATTGGAAAGTCTCTAGGATAAAAGCTTCCTCATTTGACAGATTGATTAGGAGAACTTGATCTCATGTAAAAGCATGAGACCTGGCAACATTGCACAGGAATGTAACATTTGCTTCGCTCTTAGCGATTCCCAGTACCAATCATAGAGAAAGTGCCAACCACTTCCAACCAACCCACATTACCAAACTTGTCCAACAAAAATAATTACATAATTTAAAAGAACCATGGTTTTTTATGATAAAAATTACCTTTTTATCTCTGATAAGAATTATGTCATCCAAATAAAACAAACATGTTCTTGATAGTAAAATGTCAAAATTTGGTTAATTTCTATAAAAAAAGTTAAGTTAAATAGGTAACATCACACTATTTTAGGTGGTAAAATTTAAAAATCAGGCTCAAATGAAATAATTTAGTTATGAATTTGACAAATTCAAAACTACGTAGAAGAAAATTTCTACTAATACTTCTAAAAAATAAACCTTACTTGTAAACATCTGCTTCACTGTGATTATACGCGTTGCAATTTTCGAAAACCAGAACGACATCTCTCATCAGCTGGTGGTCTTCATTATATTCGCCCATGTTCAATTTGTACTTAATGGTACCAAAGTCCATGGGTCGGGTAATAACATCATAATAGTCAGGTACCTAGTGAACAACAGCAAATAACACATTAATAAAAATTGATATTCAGCAGTAGAAGTAGATTTTACCTCGTTTTTCTGAACAGGCCTCAAGAATGGCCAGGCATCCTTGTGCTTCATGACGTCGCTGAGAAGTTCTTGAAGTGCTACATTGTGTAATGGAAGATCTTCTCTGTTATCTTCCCTTCTGTTTGATCTTCTGCTGTGAACCACTTCTTCTACATCTGAATCTTGATCTTCTAAACATTTATAAATTAATTAGAAGCAATATTTTTTCAATAAAATGGCAAAAGTCATCAACCAAGCAAACAATATTAAAGGTTAGGGTGATTTTTTTTTCACGACAATTTTTATTTTTTCGCTCCCAACTCAAAATCTTGTTGAAAATGTTCAAAAAAAAATTCCCTGAAAATTTTAGCCCTTAATATTAACTCAAAGTACTCGACCAAAGCGTATAAATATTTCCCATTTAAAATACACGTAAACTTTGATTATTTTTTTTTAAATATCTATATCTCAGCCGCATTTTATGCTATTGGATTGTTTCAAAAAAGGAATTACTCGTAATCAAAAGTTCTACAAAAATGCTTTATGTGCCATAGCTGTAATCTGCACATGTAAGATGGTACGGGTCACTAAATCCTATTTTAGTGAAAAATTATCATATTTTTGAAGATATTTCAAAAGTGACTTGATTCTTTAAAAAAATGTAAAGAACAAACTTGTAGAAAATTTAATTTTTTTTAAAAAAGGTCCCATCAGTTGAATCGCTAAGATTGATATCTCCTGAGATATAAAGCGTTTACATTGACAATTTATGAAATTTTTAGGATTTTCGTATCAAACTTTGTATAAATGATGATTTTCAATCGTTTATCAGTAAAATTTCATGTAATTCCTTTTTTTCTACAGTCGGGTGATTAGAGAAAAATAAATAACTCAAACAATCAAGCATAATTATTAATAAAATAACATGTTGTATGTAATACACCTCGTTATATCAATTTTTAGGTTAGATATATCTTTTTTCTTTAAAGTTATGTTATTAATAATTATGCTAGATTGTTTGAGTTATTTATTTTTCTCTAATCACCCGACTGTAGAAAAAACATAATTACATGAAATTTTACTGATAAACAATTGAAAATCATCATTTATACAAAGTTTGATACGAAAATCCTAAAAATTTCATAAATTGTCAATGTAAACGCTTTATATCTCAAGAAATATCAATCTTAGCGATTCAACTGATAGGACCTTTTTAAAAAAAAATTAAATTTTCTACAAGTTTGTTCTTTACATTTTTTCAAAGAATCCAGTCACTTTTGAAATATCTTAAAAAATATGATAATTTTTCACTAAAATAGGATTTAGTGACCCGTACCATCCTACATGTGTAGATTACAGCTATGGCACATAAAGCATTTTTGTAGAACTTTTGATTACGAGTAAATCCTTTTTTAAAACAATCCAATAGCATAAAATGCGGCTGAGATATAGATATTTAAAAAAAAATAATCAAAGTTTACGTGTATTTTAAATGGGAAATCTTTATACGCTTTGGTCGAGTACTTTGAGTTAATATTAAAGGCTCAAATTTTCAGGGAATTTTTTTTTGAACATTTTCAACAAGATTTTGAGTTGGGAGCGAAAAAATAAAAATTGTCGTGAAAAAAAATCACCCTATTAAAGGTAAATAAAAAATAATACAAAAAAATGATGCATGTGTCAATATTGTTAGGTATAAATACTATCCATGCAGTTGGATCAAAATACAAAATAAAAGAGATGCACAACGCTTCAGGCAACATTTAAATTTGTATTATGTCACTAACCATCGGACTCGGAGAGTCGACGTAGCGATTTAGTAAAGCTGTGGATCTTATTTCTGGCTTTCGCAGCACAACGTCGCTGGGTGTATATAAAACCAGTACATTGCCACCAGCCTTTTTGTTCTAAGGCAACAATAATTAATTGTTAATATCTACTTGATATACCAGGTTCTCGAAAAAGTTCTTGCCCATTGTGAATTATACAGTGATGATGATGATGAAGATGATAATAATTATCAAAAAGAACACCCCGTGAATTGTTTACTTGTTTTAGTTTTAAAATGTTAATGGTAAAGATGAATATGGCTAAATAAACTTGAGAGAGCAACTTTTTTGAGCACGTTTTGTTTAAATTTTCAAATTTGAAATACTTATATTAGTAACAATAAAGTCATAAAACGTCAAAGAACTAACCTGTATCACTAGATTTTTCCTCCTTCCTTTCTTTATCATCTTTACATGAAGAACATGTCCAAGGTCCTCTAGGCATCCTTCGCAGAGGTGGCGACACGCATTCTCTGTGGTAGAATATCGAACAAGTGTCGCAATTTAAAAGTTCACCTCCTGAACCACACAGCTTGCAGAGTTCGACTTTTAAAGCACTAAAAAGAATAATTATAGAAACACGTTTGAAATTGCATATTCCAAAATTGTTACAGAATATACTATTTTTCTATTTGCGTATCATAATGAGCACATTGTGTATTTGCCTGTTGTTTTCTTTTTAACGTTCAAATGATTAACTTCGCAGTTTTGACGTAGGCCGCTAGGGGCGCTGTGAGACAAGAAGCCATATGTGGAACAAACGAGGGATTCCCAACCTTTTTTGTACCAAGCCTCCCAGGATTATAAAAGATTTTTTCCCCCTTTTAATTTTGACCACATAAATTAATGAGTATATTTTTAGTGTTCAAACGCATTGGGTCCCCCTAATGATCCCTATACCTCCTAGGGAGGTAACGGTATCTGGTTGGGAAGTCCTGGAATCAACAGTGAAATAAACTTCTCACATACAGGGTGGTCCAGGATTAATCTGAAAAATTTTAATGATCGATAGAGCCTGAAAAAACAATAAAAACAAACCCAAAAACATTTTTCAAAAATGCATACTAACGGAGATATAGTCCTTCAAAATAATTTTTAAACCAATAAACCTCAAATTTTGTGTAGGTTAAGCTTCCGTCGATAATATAATGAAAATTTCCTACAAAAGGCCCAGTGTCGGATATTTTGGGAGGGGTTTCCCCTTTTTACCCTCATATTTTCGACGCCACTGGATTTTATTAGAAAATAATCAGATTTATTTTTATCCTTTTTCAATCTAAAAGCAAAACTTTTATGTTTATTTTTTATCAGATCAATTGTTTCGGAGATATTTCAGTTTAAAATTTCAAAAACACTGTGTACACGGAACTTTTGTTATTATTTTAGTAATAAAAAATATTTTTTTCTGAACGATTGTATTGGGCCAATAAAAATTTACCAATGAAATAATGGAATAATCGCTTTCAATAGGGTGGTTTTTGGGTTGGTTTGATTTTGTATTATAATACAATTAAAGTATTAATTACCCAGACGTTGATTGTAATTCTTAATCAACGTTACAATAAAACAACCTAAAAATATGACGGGATCAGTAACAACTGCACGATGACTCCTGGACGCTAGTTTATTTTTATAATATTTTATAAACTGATAACGTGGCATAATTGTTACCAAGTTACCGATTTAAAATAAAATATTATAAAATTCCGTGTACTCGGTGTTTTTGAAATTTTAAAGTCTCCGAAACCACTGATCTAACACACAAGTTTTGCTTCTAAATTGAATAAGAAATCTGATGATTTTCCAATAAAATCCAGTGGTGTCGAAATATGGGGGTAAAAAGAGGAAACCCCCCCCAAAATCTCCACCGCTGGGCTTTTTGTAAGAAATTTTACCTACACAAAATTTGAGCAGAAGGTATTTAAAAAAAAAAACGGTTTTTTGCCTTTGAAGGGATATTAGTGTGTTAGTGTGTATTTTTAAAAAATGTTTATGGGTTTGTTTTAATTGTTTTTTCAGGCTCTATCGATGATTAAAATTTTTCAGATTAATCCTGGACCACCCTGTATAATCCATTCACGTTTGGTAGCCCAAACTTAGTGAGAGTTTTTTTATTAGATGCTACAATGATAATTAACGCGTTTTTTTTTATTTTTTCACAAAGTTGGTTTCCCATTCAATTTTAAAATTTGATGAAATCAATAAAAATACTGTCAGAATATTTTCCGATTACGATAAGCGGCATAGTATTTCAAAAGAAAAAAAACATTCCAAAAAATTCTGAAAAAAAATGGAAAAATCCTAAAGAAAAGATTAATTTGACAGATGACCTAACCTCACATTCAAAGACCCTTTTGGATCTTAAAGAGAATGCAAAGCACGCATCACACAGAAAAAGTAACTAGCTAACCAGAATCTAGTTTGGACTATCGAACGGAGATTGATATTATGTTTTGTTCTTTGTTGAAAGTTGTCAAATTGGAAAATGTAACGTCAGCTAATTTTCTAGCATGATCTTGGTTAACAAAACAAGAAACAAATAATAATCACTACACGGAATTATCCGACACGACAAGGATTTAAAAAATGTAGGTAATGTTTATTGAATTGTCAACTGCGATTTAAAAAATGTAGTAGTGGATTTCAAAGTTCATTCCTGTGACAGGAATCCTGTCTCGCAGCGCCAAAACACTATTTTTAGCCAAAACCGAAAGTTATGTAGCCAAGTAAAAATTTAATTTAGTTAAAATTTCAATATACCTTAAACTTTAGTGTTTTTCCTAGCTTATTAGATTATTCGTTAAGATTAAATAAAAAAAGACATGGTAGATGCTTAAGCACTTTTAAAAAGGTTCATAAATGCTCGAGCATTTTTAAACGCTTGTAAACCAAGGTTGGCTGCATAGTGGGTAACCTAAAAAAAACCCACTTTGCAGGGTTTTTGTTAAGTTTTTTTTTAAATTAATTTTTTCTTAAACTTTCCAAACTATACATTTTATATACCTATTTGTATTTTGTAAAAAAATAAAACCTAATACAATACATTCTTATGTAAATATGTAAAAAAACTCAAGTCTTTAATTCAAAGCAGTACACTCCTTAAGTCGTTAAAACTGCTTATATTACTAAATATCATTTATATTTAATTTAAATTTGATTTTAAAACTTACAAAATTAAAAAATTTATTGATGTTTTTCATTGATTATTTCCCTCATTATAATATGAACCAATCAAAAGCCTTGAATTTTCGAATAAATTTCGTTTAAATAAGCGATGAAATCACTAGAACTATTTAACAGCGATTAAATTTTAGCCTCCATATTGGATTTTTGTTTACGATTTTATGGTGTTATTTACAAGTTTTAACAAACATTTTTTAAAAAACAATAAAAAATAAGTTTACGAAATATCAATTATTACTTATTACATACCTTAAATTAATGGAATTTTCTTTAAAAAAATATTTATAAATTTTGACACATACGTCAGATTTTATGAATTGTCAAATAGTTTCCTTTAATTCGAGAAATAATCTAGACGTATATCACTCAAACTATAAATTTAATCTGTCAAACTATGCTCAGTAAGTTTTTTATTTGATTTTTCTTTTTGGAAAATAGTTTCATGCAAAATAATTAAAAATAAAACCCCTCGACCGCTACGCGGTCTCGTGATTTTATTAAATTATTTTGCATTCATCATTTTCCAAGAAAAATCAAACAAAAAACTACTGAGCCTAGTTTAACCGATTAAATTCATAGTTCTCGTGATATAATATATGAATATACTTGGTTTCGGCCGAGTCGAAATTTCGGCCAATTTTTGGCCAAAACTTATCTTCGTGCGAGAAAATAACTTCTAATGACATTAGTTATTTAATATACTATGCTTCTTGTGAATGATAGAACTGTCATTTTCGTGAACGCAAAGTTTTTACTCAATAAGAATCACAGACTGTAATTCAAAGTTCAATAACAGGAAAGCAATTTTCTTACCCATTTTCTTCCTCCTCCTCTTCTCCTTCGCTTTCTTTGCTCCCCTCTGCATCCTCCTCCTCGTCAACATCACTCTCCTCTTCCTCCAGATTCTCCTTGAATATCTTGCGCTTTTTGGACGGCGTGGGTTGTAGCAATTTCTCCTGCTTCTCCTTCTCCTTCGTACATCTATCGCAGAACCAATCGCCTTTAGGAACTGAGGTGAGTTTCGGCTTGAGACAGTACAAATGGTGACCCATGTTGCAAATATCGCAGAGCAGCATATTCTCTGAATCCTTTTGCCGCCTGCATATCCTGCAGCGCGCCAACAAGGCGGATCTTGACCACATCACGCAGGAATCCAACGTACCATAGTGCAAGAACACCTGACTGAAACTGGTGGACGCCAATAAGGACTGCTCCCACCTGGCCAGCACATCGAACTCTTCCTTTTTCTTCTCGTTCTTGGTCACGTCCGCTTTGCCCAGAGGTTTTTTCAGATATTTGGGCTCTACAGCCTGAGCTACTTGCGCTAGAGCAATGGCTACGGATTTTATTGCTGCTGTCAGCTCTTCGGATTGTTTTAGAAGGTTTTCTTCGGCTACATCGCCATTTTCTATTTCCTCGTCCAGAGTCGGACCCAAGCATATACCAGGATCTTTGTATTCCTTTAATTCTGGCGGTTTTTCATTAATTTCTGGCGTGCTCGAACGACTACCTTTGCCTGTGGTTTCCTTTTTAACTTTCAAATGTTTATCTTCGCGTTTTATGATGGTTTTGTCCAGTTCGTCGTAATTTTTGCTCAAAAGGCACTCCCTCCACTTATCGCGGTTCTTTACTGAAAGACTTCCCAAATTGCCGGCAAACATTTTTTCCTCCATTTCGAGGATATTGTCTATAATCGAGTTCAGGAGCACATCCTCTGGAGGTAAATCTGCCGGGAAGCCAAGGTTCGCATCCTCGTATCTGTCTTTGCCAGCTTTCCGTTTGGGTTTCTGTAGGATTTCTTCAGTTTCCACATTGGGATTTAACTGCGTCGCGGGCGTTTGAGATACCAATCGATGCAAACACTCTTTATCCGTTTTAATCACTTGCTGCAGCTCCCCCTCCCTTATGCCGCGCTTATTGAGACTATTGGCTAGATTATCGATGTCGGATTTATCGTGATAAAACGACCATCGCGTTCTCTCGACCGTAGTGGAATGTATAGAGCATGCGGCGGGATCGGCGGAACACACTAACAGTTCCTTACACTGGTCTTTATCAGCTTGCGGCAGCGAGGCGCGCGTGCCGTTGATTTTCACCGGGGATTTTTTCGGGTTGTTCTCCTTATCGCTGCTGTTCATTTCTTCGTACACTTTTTTGACGTGCTGGATTATTTGCGTTTTGTCGGCGTTCGCGAGTTCCGGGTTTTGTTTTACCATCGCGTCCAGACACACGCCGGGATTATCTTCTTCGAAGTTTACGAGCACACCTGGTAAGGATTCCAGTTTGAAGTACTTGCGAAGAGCGCGGTCGAACCTAAAAAATAGAAAAAAAAAATTTAAAATCTTCATTTATGTATTTTTTTGTTTTTTATATACAGGGTAAACTAAGTATCCTTCTATGTATGGGTATCTCTTTTATTTGAGAAGCTACAAGGTCGGTTAAATTGGAGAAAAGTTGCGTAAATACAAGTCTATTAAAATGGCATTTAGAAATTTAAAAAAAATCAGAGGTTCTCAAAATATTTGAAAAAAACTAAAAATTTAACCCACCTTGTAGCTTAAATAAAAAGAATATACACTTAGAAGAATACTTGGTGCAAATTTCGATTTTAAATAACTCGAAATGAGACTGAATATTGTTTTTTTATGATTTTTTTTTTGTAATTTTAAAAATACACACATTTTTAATAAAAGAAGCATTTTTATATTAAAATATTAATAAATAAATTAATTATTACATAAGTAACTTTTTTTTATTCAATTTTTCCAAAAAGGATTTTTTTCTGCACCTTGAAAAAAATTTTCCGAGCCTTCAAAAAATCACAAGCATTTTGAGTATGAGTATGAGTATGGGAACGTATGGCAGGCCCCAGATATATTATCATCCACTGATCTCCCGGGGTTATTTTACCCCCTTTCCGTTCTCCTGCGTATCCCGCCAAATCACAGCATTACCTGTGTTTGTTGGATCCGAAGTTTTTACGCCGGCTGGTAGATCCACCCTAGGAGTTCGTGGATGACAGTGTCAAAGGTTAAGGCCGCTCCCGGGATTTTTGTCAGCCGGGTCGGGCCATACGTCCAGTTTAGGAAGGGTTTTTGGAGGACATTGAACTGACCCAAAACTAAGTACAATCCGGAATCCTCCTCAACCTAGGCCTTAGTAGTAGCCCCATTCAATTGGTATTCGTGAATGGGGGTGGGTATGTTAGTTCTTTGCTTACTCCGGCTACCAACCTTGTATACTCTTTATTTATTTTATTGCTAAATTAGTGTTTATACCGTTTTCATTTAATTTACATCTTTGCATTCTTACTTTTTTTCCAAATTTAATTTAAAAATATAAATATTAATATACAAAATCGATAAAGCCGGCCCTGTAGTGTATGTGGTGGAATGCCACCATATGGTCTGCATTGGCTATTGGTCGTTCTTCTTTCTTCTGTGCTGTTCTTGTATTTTTGAGCCGCTGCTAGAACCTGTCCTTGTTGGTGAACTATTTATTTTGTTGTTAAATTAGTGTTTATCCCGTTTATTATTATTATTTAATTTGTGTCTTTGCGTTCTTACTTTTTTTTCCAAATTTAATTTAAAACTAAATTAATACAATAATAAAGCCGGCCCTGTGGTGCATCGCATTAAAATCTGAAATACGGCCCAGTGTAACGTATGCTTCAATAGATGGTTTATTTACGTTATTGCGTGGGCGCTTTGTTTATTTACATTCGCCATCCTTCAAGCTTTGCGTTGTGGCTGAGCTGCAAGATGCGTATATTATACAATATATATAATACAATAATATAATATTGCGACGTTCCTGCTTGATCCCCTTTTCACCCACGTACGCTGTTTTCGGCAATGGTTAATTGTTGACAGGTTTTTTTTTTTACAGATTTGCGTATTAGGTCATGCAATAATACTTATCAGAGTCGGCTGGTGATGGTGATGATCCCTTTCGCTCTTTGTTAGACTTGTTTTTTCTTTAAATCGGTGATTCCTTGACCTGTCCCCTGTCACTTTATTACTTCGTGTCCGCACGAACCTCACTCCTATGTTCACCGTTGAGAGATTGCCTTTTGAGGAATTATTTAATGTTTCTATTAACCCCTCGGAGAACAGGTACCCTGATTTCACCTGTACAGGTATGTATACATACTATAGTAACCCAAAATAGTAGCACTGTTTCTCACCGTACTTTACTCGACTACACTGTATATAATAGTTATGTTTCTTTAAGAATTTTATTGTGGATCGGCACTGAGCGCTCGAACTACACATCCACTCGCTTCGCCTTAACCTTTGATACTGCCTTCAAAACATCACAAGCATTTTAAACCAAAAATTAAAGAACTTGCAGAAAAAATAATTTTGCATTTTTTTCGTGTTATCAGTAGTATCTGTAACCCGTATTATGGATAATTAAATGCAAAATTCAGTTTTTCTGCAAATTTTTCAAATTTATCGTTTAAAATGCATGTGAAGTTTTTAAACGCTCGAAAAAAAAACGAGATTAAATGAAAATATCAATTCGAAAATATATAAAAATATATCTTTTTTATTTTCCCAATTTTTCGATAAAAAAAAAAATTTTTTTTCCGGGAAATCAGTTGGTATACAAAGTTTTACAAAATTGCTCTTTTAGTTCCACCCTGACTTCTGAAGAAGTCCCATAAGCCAACTGAATGGCTTGTGCGGGTTAGGGGTAGGAACGGACCGCGGGCTTAAAGTCCCCTCCGAAGGACTATTACACAATAGGACAACACAAATAAACAGCCATACCCCTGGTGGGATTCGAACCCACGACCTCCGGCTTGTAGTCAGCGGCACTAACCACCAGACCACCGTCGCTTTACGGTTAAATATTGCGTTCTTTGCGTAAATTCTTTTTACAAAAACAAATTCTTTTAGCGCCGCGGGAGATTTTTCTTGGCTACGTATTAATCGTGCTTCATCAGTAAAATTAATTAGTTGGGTGAAGAAATTTGCAGAGACGGACGCAGAAAAAGGAATAGGCCCCCGTAAGACCACCAGAAAATTATTTTAATTATATACAGGGTATTGCACATTTATGAAATACAGGGTTGTTTCACGTTCGTGGTCCATTGGAAGTGACATCAACTTTGTTATTTTAAATACCCTATATATATTTACATTTATAAATTCTACATAAAATTCTGAGTAAACTATACCATATCCTATACCTAAAGTGAATAGTTTTCGAGTTATTAATTTTTTACGTTAAAATTTGACAAATTTCTAATATTAGGCCCACAATAGTCAAGAAGAGCAACGTTTAATGTATAAGTAAGAATTAAGAAATGCTTGTAAATGAAGGACACTTTGAACATTTAGTAATAAATTAGTAATAAAAATTGTTAATTAAAATATTTCATAAAATAATTTTTTTATTTTTTTGTCTCCAATGAGCTAGTGCTTCATTTAGTGTAAAACCTACAACATTGTTGATTTTGTTCAAAATTAGTATTACTTTTAAATTTTAAAAATGTTTGGCTTGTCAATGTTCTGTATAATTCACTGACTGCTTTTTTATCAGTAATTTTGTTTACAAAACACTTAATTATCAACAAATTGTTTATAACAACCTGAAAATTTAAAGCTATTTTGTACAATGAAAGAGTATGTGGAATTATAGATACCGTCAACTCACCCAAGACAGGTTTCATTATACAAAATAATATATAAAATTTTAGAAATTGTTATATATCTCTGAAATTATAGGGAATAGTTAAATTAATCTAAAGGTTTTTTAATTTGCTATTTGATTAGGTAAAAAATACTGGGTGTTAAAATAAAAAGTTATTAACGTTTCAAGTTAGTCCAATTTGCCCTGGATTTTCTCAGGTAATTGGTTGAAAAATGTTAAAGAATTGACATGGAATCCTTAAAAAATGTTTTAAGATTTCAAAAATTCCACCCCAAACCTAATAGCAAAAAATTTAGATGCTATTTTTGATTGACGCGCATTTGTCAAATTTTAACGAAAAAAATTAATAACTCGAAAATTATTCACTTTATGTATAGGACATACCATGTAACTTAACTCAGAATTTTTTGAAGAATTTAAATATGTAAAAATATATGGGGTGTTGAAATAACAAAGTTGATGTCACTTCCGATCAAACTGAAAGTGGCATTTTGTTTAAACTATTTAAAAAAATAGACTTAAACGCTTTTAAAACTTCAAATCGATATCTTTTCCGTTCCCCAGAAACTTCCAATGGACTACAAATGTGAAACACGCTGTATATAGTATAGTGGTGTTTTTAAGGTTGTGATACCACTATAGCAATGTTTAAATGTCAAACCAAAAGACTAAGATTTGTTTCCAACATATATTGAATATAAGTTAAATACACATCTGTTGTTTTATTTAAAAAAATCAAAAATTAAAAAAAGATTATTTTTTTTATTAAAAAAAATAAAATTATTATTTCGTTTAAGTATAAATTTTGTATTATGTAAAAACATACAATATTTAAAAAGAAAATATTATTTATTATTTATTTAACAAAATAGAGAAAACGGTGAGGCACGTGTACGTTTATTAACCTTTATTTTGAAAATCTGTTAAAAAAATTTATGGAAGGAAAATCATGTTCAACTGTGTTATCTATCAAAAAAACCTGGCCACAACAAATTTGGTTTAGACAATTGCTAGATATAGATAATAAAGAAACAAATTAAAAAATAGGCGTAACTGGTGAAATCCCAAGGTTGTTATAATTTAAATCACTGATTTGAATCGCGATTTAAATTAATTGATTTTTTAAATTTAAATCAAAGATTATGTTCTGTAATAAGGATAAAATTAAAAAAAAAACCGTTTGTAGAAAACTTAGTTTTATTTATTTCAAATAAAAACCTATTTGTTTATTTTAAGCCCCGTTTAGAGTAGTTAATACTAAATAAACAATATTTTTTTTTGTCTTAGTTGAATTTAAATTTAAAAAAATGTTAAATTATACCACACTTATTTAGTCCATGTGGACCCCATTACCAATTAGGTCAACATATAATTCATACTAATAAAAAGTCTATTAAATATCAACGAAACTTTTACAGGCTTTTTTGTTTTAATAAAAAAATCTGATTTAAAAAAAAGAACCATGTTAAATCCTGCCAGTAAAACCTGGAACGCCCTAAATTAAATATTTTGTAACTCACCCTAGTAATATCTGTTTATCTGTGCACCCTTTCATCAGCTTCTCGATCTTTCTCTCGTTCTGAAGCTGCTTCCTGTCATTCTCCTTGTCCAACTTCTCGATTTTGTCCGTGACGGCTTTCGGATCCTCCTTGAACTCCTTCTTGATCTTCGACTTCTCCGACAAGTACTCTTGCTCGCGTTTGCGTTCGGCCGCGTGCGCCGACCTCAATTCCAACTTCATCTGCCTGTTCTTGTCCATTCGCTCTTCGACAATGTCCCTCACGTCTGCGTACGTGAGCAGCTGGTTCATCAGACAGGAGACGATTTTTATTTTGTCGCCCATCGACAATTGAACCACGTTGTGGATCGAGAGAGCTTTGATTATTTGTGGTTCGTGAAGTCTTAAGTATAAACCTGAAATACCATTTTTACGTAGGAAACATTTATTTTTTCTCGTTCCCCAAGCTAAATATTGATGTACCTATCGAAAAAAATGCCCTTAAGGTTTCAGCCCTTAATCTTACTTTTAAGTGCATTTATTTTTATTTTAAAGTTTTCCCATTGAAAGGACAATTTACATCGGTGCGATTTGTACATTCACGTGCATTGGATCAGTACCACCGTTTTACCTTGGTTAAGATCCTAGAGTAGGCGGAGCTATGACTCTGACCGCAAGCGATTTTTTAATGTCGTTGCTACTGAGCTATTGCTCCCAACTGTACATAATTAGATGCTATTCACAAGTAACGGGTGATTCATTTAGAACTTTTTTTTAAATTCTATTTTTTTTATTTTATTTGAAAATAATTTCATTTAAATGCTGGCCGCGACTACGCCGTACGTGGTCTATTCGGAAAGTCCAATTTTTGATTACTCTTTCTAGCATGCGACCGGAATCTGCCCAATTACGCGAGTAATCTTGGTTTCTAAGTCCTAAGCTGGCTTATTCACGAAGACTTTTGATTTAACATGACCCCAGAAAAAAGTCCAAGGGTGTGAAATCACACGATCTAGGCGGCCAATTGACAGGTCCAAAACGCGAAATTATCTGATCACCAAAATGATTTCTCAATAAAGCTATTGTTTCGCGCGCTGTGTGTGTTAAATGAAATTATTTTCAAAAAATAAATGTCAAAGATTGTTCTTTCAGATTCCACCTTTCAATTCCATTTTTATGCGTTTTATTTAGAATTTTAAAAAAAGGTCTAAATGAATCACCCTTTAATTTGCAAAATTTTTAATACAACCTATTTTTTCGACCTCTATACGTCACCAAAGTAATATTTTAATAATTATAGCCTTTTACGGGAAAAGGTTGAAGTCACAGGTAAAAAGTAAAAAAGATTTTTATAGAAAATTGAATTTCATATAAAAAAGAAAATATGCATTTATCCAATGAAATGCATACTTTAAAAGATATAGACCATTTAATAAGTCTGTCAAATTTTGAAAAAACTAATTACTTTATCAATAGTTCACCGCAATAGTATATTCTGTAACAAGTTTGGAATACAGCATATTCCGCTCGAGTGAAGAGTTTGTCACACGAGCCGAAGGCGAGTTTGTCGGTTTCACGAGAGCGGAATATGCAATTCCAAACGTGTTTAAATGCTCTATATCTTCTAAACTATACATGTTATTTCATTATTGTATAAAACTATTTTTGTAGGAAATTATCTGTAACTTTAACCGTTTTGCCGTAAAAAACAACATAGGACTTATTAGTTTATCAATATTTGACACTAACATTCATTAAATGCTCTATCTTTTAAATTATACATTTTATTGCATTATTGCAAAGAGCCTTTTTATAGAAAATTGAATTTCCTATAAAACTTTTTACCTGTAACTTTAACCGCTTTGCCATAAAATGTAAAAATACTGTTTTTTATTGAATGACTTTGGTGACAAATAAAGGTCTAAACATATAATTTATTAAAATTGTTAAAAAGAGCATCCAATCATGTAAAAATCGCACCTGTAGATTGTAGTAACGTAAAATGTCGCCAACCTATAGGAAATTTAAAATTTAAAGTTATGTCAATGGAAAATCTTTAAAATCAAAATAAGGTATTTAGGAGTAAGATTAAAAGCCAAAACTTTGAGGACTGTTTTTTCGTGATATGCACATAAATATTTTGCTTGGGAGTGATAAAAAATAAATGTTTCTTCAAAACGAATCGTTTAAGGGAAGATTGAAGATGTCCGAACTTGGATAACTCACGGCGACCATATTTGATATTTGCTGTAATTTGTGTTTAGTAGGGTTTAAAGTTTTAGCATGGATTTTTCTACCACAATGTATGGAAATTGTTCAAACTTAAGTTTGTGTATTGCTTGTGGGTTGAATAAACTCCAATAACGGCAATTAATTTTGCCTTTTAACGAAAACATTTAGCCAAAAATCCGCCTCAGAAGAAAATACATATGAAGTACTTTTCGAGTAGATATAACAGAACTCAAATTTATATAATAATTATTATAGGCGCATTTTTGACTGAACTGTTTTGTTAAAAGGCAAAATTAATTGCCTTTATTGAAGTGAATTCAATCCACAATTGATACAAAAGGCTTTTTTACATCTTCAAAAAAACACTGTTTGGTATGGAATTCATACTATGGATTATGGCAAGAAAGCATCATCCATCTTTATTTTTAAGAAAAAAGCGTTACCGTAATTAAAAACGTTATTGGTCAATTTTAACCAATTAATTTTTCACAAAATTTGGTGGTATTGCTCTGAATAACCCTTATTTTTACCAAGAATTGTAACATTACTGACCTTACAGTCAATAATTAAATAAAAAATTGAAGTTGATACAGTATATACCGATTTTATTAATGCTTTTGATAAAATTCAGCATAATATTCTTTTGCATAAACTACGTAACTTCAGTTTTGGGGAAAACTTGATTAATTTATTTAAATCACATTTGCACCAAAGATTTCAATATGTTTAATACAGGAAATGTAAATTGTAAATGTGTATTGTGCAACGAGTGGAGTTACCCAAGGGAGCAATCTTGGACCTTTATTGTTCCTGATGTTTGTTATTAATGATATAACAAATGGCATTGGCTCAAAAAATTTACTATATTCTGATGATTTTAAAATATTTAGAGTTATTACATTGCATAATGTCTACCTGTGCCTTCAGAATGACCTTAATAATCTGTATAACTGGTGTGATTTTTGAACTTTGGAAAATGTTACGTTAAGAGGTTTTCTAAAAAATCAATAATACTGTTTTCAATTATAAAATAAATTAAACAATTAAAGATTTGGGCGTTATCATTGTTCCTCATATAAATCTTGTAATAAAAGAAGCTAACAAAATGTTAATTTGTGGTATGTATAGGGTTGCAACTTTTCATGAAAAGTTAAAATTTTTGAAAAGTTGGGTTTTATTTTTCGGAAAAGTTCGGAAAAGTTGGAAAAGTTGAGTTTTTTGTAATGTTAACGTATAAAACATAAATAATGCTTGTCAATGTATTAAAATAATGTATTTCTTATGTATTTATACATACGTAACGAGTTGTTTTATAACAAAATAAAATGAACAGACAACATAATCACAACAAAAATTAACTAGGTTTGACTTAAAAAAATCATATTTTTTAAGTAAAAAAGAATAGAAATTTATACACACCATTATAAAACACAATACGAAATAAAAAATAATTACAAAAAAATATGAAGCAAAAATTATTAAATTTATTGCTGTTAAAAATGATGGAAATTTACAAGTAAAAATTTAAAAAGGAAAAGAAAAGAAAACTTTCTTCATTTCCACTTTTATATTTTCACTTGCAAATTTCCATAATTAAAAATAATAATATTTTTTTCATACTGTGTATAAATTTCCACTCTTCCATTTATATCGAATTTTGACCAAATTATCTACCGAAAAAAATTTATGGTAGTGGAAACACTGGTTAGAAGTGAACTCATTGTTCATTGGCTCCCACCTAATAACTTTTCCAACTTTTCATAGGGGGTGCCAAACTTTTCCAACAACTTTTCCACCGAACTTTTCCTTGTTTGCAACACTAGGTATGTAATACCAAAGTATAATTTTTTGACCCCGAAATTGTCTTAAAAATAAAATTTCATATTCAAATACTAAATTTTAGGTATTACCAAGCTTTCTATATAGAAGCTGCAAATAACAATGAACAAAAGATTCTCAATGTGTCAGAGTTACAATCTGATTGAAGAGAATTGTGATATTTTTAATTTAAGTATTGGGTGCTTGCTTAAATCATATTCAAATTTCATAAATAAAACCATCTGCAATTTTTTTCCCCTTAAACTGAAGTCGTTTTATATACTCCTAAAGTTCGTACGCGCTTATCGGCAAACTAAAAAAACGTTCTTACCGGGATCGTCTTCGCTGGTGTATCCTCCGCGCTGCTGGAAGCGCCATCTGGCGCCGGTATCGTTGATTCTCGCACCGGACGACAACAAATGAAGGCGAAGGATCTCGGAAACGGTGACGGAGTACAGAGGTAACCTTGACAAGGGGAGACCTTGATATTGATTGCTCCAACCGGACGCCAGTGTTGCCAACTGCGTGGCGTCGCGTAGACTAAGGTTGTCGTTTATTTTTTCCTCGTCGATTTCTAATTGATTACATTTAAATTATATCATTATACACTCACAGGCAAAATAATCGATCCACACAAATTTTCGATGAATTTCAATCACAAATAACTTTATTATTTTATGTCGGATTTAAACGAATATTAAAGAATATTGTAGATAAATTAATGGAAAATAGACGTACGTTTATAATATACAGGTTTAAACAAAAAGATTTTTTTTACCATAAGTTTAAGACACTCTGTAGAGTGGCAAAACCGTATATTGTTCTAAATTAAGTTTTTTGGTTCACCTCGATATATTTATTTTTGTGGAAAATATGGATTTTTTAAAAAAACATTGCAATTTCCAATATTTTTCTGTTTGAAGAACTAAGGTTGCTATGGTCCATCCATAGGCTATGGAGAATGACAGTGACAGTTTTGTTGAATCATCCCATACTTGGACATGTCATACACGGCTTTCAAAAGCTATCCAATTGTTTTTTGCAAATTAATGTTTAAATTTTGAGGTGTCTTCTTACTTTAAAAAATAGATATGTCTCCGACTGATGTTGCCAGAGCCATTAATTTCCAGGATGGACGGTCACAGTATTACGTGGCAAGTGTTTTAAACGTCCCAAGAAGTAAAGTACAAAGGGCAACATCAGTCAGAGACATTTTTAAAAGTAAGAAGACACCTCAAAATTAACACATTAATTTACAAAAAACAATTTGATAGCTTTTGAAAGCTGTATATGACATGTCCAAGTATGGGATGATTCAACAAAACTGTCACTGTCATTCTCCATAGCCTATGGATGGACCATAGCAACCTTAGTTCTTCATACAGGAAAAATATTGAAAATTGTAATGTTTTTTTTTGAATCCATATTTTCCACAAAAATAAATATATCAAGGTAAACCAAAAACAAAACTGTTAAAAATAGATGTGACTTGATAATTAAAACTTAATTTAGAACAATATACGGTTTTGCCACTCTTCCGAGTGTCTTAAACATATGGTAAAAAACATATTTTTGTTTAAACCTGTATATTATAAACGTGTCTATTTTTAATTAATTTTTAAAATGTGAGCGATTCTCCATTAATTTATCTACAATATTCCTTAAAATTTGTTTAAATCCGAAATCATATAAAAAAGTTATTTTCGATTGAAATTCATCGAAAATTTGTGTGGATCGATTATTTTGCCTGTGAGTGTATATATAAATGTGCAATAATTTTTACCAGTTATAGGTAATTTTTTTACCGATTTACTGATTTGAATACAAATTATTGAGGTTATCTATCTGTTAGTTTAAGGCTAATTTATGTATTTTTTGTGTTCTAAATTATGACCTTTATCCACAAAAAATACATTTATTGTGTTATTTTCAGAAAATAAGACAATATAGAAATTAAACTGAACAATAGATAACCTCAATTATTTGCATTAAATTGTCAAGGTGGGACTTATGGGTTTTGAGCTCAAGTAATTTTTTAACATTAAAAATTACACTGGTCTGCAACAAAATCCTCCTTTAAAAAATTACATCCAAAATATGATGATTTTAATGCTCTGAATTTGTTCCCGTTGGCCGATTTTTTTTTATCACGTCTAGGTTTTGTGATATGATTTTTTTTTTAAATATCATAAATTTAGGTGTTTTTAAATTCGCTGTATGCGTAAACATTATAAACAGTGTATATACATACAAAATAGGTTTAAACGAGTCGTAAGAGAAAGAAGAAAAGTACCGAAAGTGATTTTTATGGTATACCATGTCCTATAGGACATATGCGCTTGCGCAGTATTCGCTGTGACTTTACAGCAGTTTAAAACTTGTCTTTTAATTGCAATTGTTTACGTTCTATATCAATTCTTTTGGTAAGTTTTGTATAAAGTTCATATTCTATTCTATTTTTGTTAAGTATTTGATATGTAGTAGAACAGAGCAAATAAATATATTTATAATAGAAGTTTCAAATTGTTCTAAAATAAATTTTATTTAATTTTAAGTTATAGAATGCCGCGAACTTGTAAGAATTCTACAGACTGTTTTTGCTACATTTGTGGTGAATTTGCTCTAAAAACACAGATAAATGCAATAACAGATCTTAAAAGACCCCACAATGCAAAATGGTCAGCAGCAATGCTGTTCCGATGGAAACGATGAAAAGAAAAAAAACTACAAAATAACTAATTATATTACCATAATGAGATAATTTTACTGATATTTTTAACTTGTGACTTTAAAAATAGCATTTTTTACGGTAAAACTTAAGCCGTAGTATTTTATCACTTTTTTGTAATTGTTGTTACTTTAATAACATCGTTTTTTATTAAATGGACATAATATTTAAAATCTATGTGCTGTATTAATTTGCATGTTAAATTCCGTGTTTAGAGCACCAAATATGTTATCATGTATAAAAACAATGAGGAGAAAAAAATATATTTTTTATGCAGACCAGTGTTATTTAACACAGTATTATTTATAAAATTTCTTCCTACCTGATCCTTTTTCAACTTGTGTTCTATATTGGTTGGATTCTTCGTCTTGTACATTAAAAAGAGCCGTTAAAAACATCTGAATAACATCAGTCAATGGACCAGCCACCTCTTTTTCTATTAAAGCTCTCTCCATTATTTCATATGTAAAACCTTGCGGGAAAAAGTCCTTTGTGGATAAAATTTTGGAGAAATGTTCAACAAACTCCAGGATCATCAGCATGTCACCCATATACTTTTCTGGAATTTTTGATATAATGGGTGTAGGTTCTGGAAGTTTCTAAAAATATCAAAATAGAAAGTCAATGTCAAGGTGGGACTTTAGGGGGTGGAGAAAAATACTATGCACTAGGGATCGACCGATACCGATGTATGCGATATAATTATCGGCCGTTACCGATATATCGGCCTCAATACATTTTAATCTTTTTAATATTATTTATTTAGGATTTTTTTGTGTGAAATATATTGCGCATATTTTAAGGGTGTTTAACTCATTTATTCAAAAGATATGGTTGAAAAGACCAAGAAGAAAATCTAACAAAAACCTTATATTTGTAATCTATGTATTTTCACCCCAATGTAGAAGAAAATCTAATAACAAACATTTTTATATATTTAGACTTGAAATGTCCAAAACACGCCGAAAAAAGGACACGGAATGACAAGGTTTAAGTGCAGCTGCTCTGTTAAGCAAAAATGACTATATATATATATATATCTATATTTTTGTTCTTATTTTATGTAAATAATACAATATATACATTTTTTGTGTTCTAAATTTAGACCTTTCCACATCAAAAATACATACCTTGTATTATTTTTTATAAATAAGACAAAATTAGCGTTAAGCTGACAAATGTATAAGCTCAAATATTTGTATTCAAATGCCAAAGTGGGACTTTTGGGTGTGGAGCCTAGTAAATAGTTTTATTTATTAAAACTTAATTTTAAAATGTCAATTTAACTACTAAGTTTAAATTTGTTAAATGTTTTAAGGCAATAAAATTTAAATAAGCACAAATTTGTATGATTTTTTTTTTAAATAATTTGGTTTTGTATTTGAATCTTACCAAATGGTCATCTAACTCGAGATCTTCTTTGGGCTTGTAATACTCCCTAACATAATTGGAAATTTTGATGTTTTCCTCCTTTTTCTTTAACTTTAAGGCGATTTTTTCCTCTTCCTTTAATTGTTTTTTGACTTTGAACTCTTCCTCCCTCTTTTTCATCATTTCCATCAATTCAGCTCCATTTTTACCCTTACTTTTTTTGCCTTCACCTGCCAAACCGTTTTTGGTCAAATACTTGGCCAAGGTTTCCTGTTTTGTAGCCTTCCTTCCATTACTAGTACCATTCAGTTTTTTAAGTAACTTTTTGGTGCATTCGAAATTTGGCATGGGACCATCAAAGATTTGATCAAATTGAATTTTGCTGATGCCAAAAGTCTCAATGACTGACGGTTTTATCACCCAAACGCCATTCAGATCCTGTTCAACATACTGTTTCAGGAATAATTTGCTTTTTTCTCGGTTGAAAACCGACTTTTTCCTTCGAATTTGACTGTGATCCACTATCATTATCTCACTGACATCCTCATCTTCAGCATCCAAATGTTCAATTTCATATTTGTAAACGTTGAATGGCGGGAAAAACTGCCTCTCAGGTGAAGTACTAAAAATATATTTATATCAATGTGATATTTTATACAGGGAAGGAATAAATCTTACCCATTTTTTGTAGATGTAATTTGTTGTTTTATTGTCTCCTCAGCAGGCGCAATAACTTGCAAAACATGAGAATCCTTCCATTTGTTATTTGTAAAACTTGTCTCTAAATTCTCACCAATAAAAAATCTATCTTTGGCATAGATAAAGACATCTTCAGCCATATCACCAAATGATGTTCGTTTTGTTTTGCTTGCCAAAAATAGAATGGGGATTTTTAGTTCTACAGGAAATTCTTGAAGGCTTCTTTTCGCATTTTCCTCACTTTCCAAGGCTTCCAGATAGGTCAGATTTGATTTTCCCGTCATACAGCATGTCCATACCATGGAGTTGCACAAGAAAAGGCGTTCTGAGAACTCTCTGAAAATTTCGCGGTATTTTTAAGGAATCTTTTAAAAAGTCAAAACTAAAAACATCAAGGGACTACATACATTGATTAAAAACTATGTTAATATAACTAAAACATTATACTTTACTATGATCTCATTAAGATAAAATATAATTCTATCTCGATGTATGCTCATATCAAAAATCCCACTTTGACATTTGAATAAGGAATGCAGTTAAATATTTGATGTTCTCCAGTTTAACGCTAATTTTGTATGTTTTTTGTTATAAATTAAGACCTTGGCACACAAAAAATACATATTATAATATTTTTAGAAATACAAAATAAGCGTTTAACTGATAGAAACATAACTTCAATTATTTTACTGCATTCCTTACTCAAATGTCAAAATGGAACTTTTTAGAAGATTAAAGATGGTATCTTAGAACTGAAGCAAAATTAAAAGTCATTTTTTAGTTGGCTTAAATGTTATGATTATACAGCTAAGACTTGTTAAAAATCATAACATAACAGTTTTGTTTACTTATTTTTCTAGTACCTACTTCTCTAATAATATATATCAGATTCTAATACCCAGTCACATGTGGAACCTATACATGTACCTGTAGAACCTAGAACTGGGGAGTCATTAAATAACTACAGTAGGTATTTTAGTTTCTGCACAGCCTCTTTTATTCATGCATTACTTGGTTAATATGGCAATCAAAAAATAAGTCTTGAAAGTTATAAAACCTTAAAATTTAAAAACTTAAACAATAAATAAGAAACATTAAATGTTTAATGGGCTTCTGGGACTTCTTATGAAGTAAGGGTGGAACTAAAAGAATTTGAATTACTGAAAATTTTAAGTAATTAAGCTAATTCTATTTTTGCTCTTTTAGTTCCACCCTTACTTCCTAAGAAGTCCCAAAAACCAACAAAATGGCTTGTGCGGGTTAGGGGTAAGAATGGACCGCAGGCTTAAAGTCCCCTACAAAGGACTAGATAAAATCAATTAAATTAAAGTAGTAATAGCATCTGTAGCCTACAGACTGTAGGTTTCCAATATATTTATAAAAGCACATGTGCAGTCATAAAACAAAACTTCAAAATTTTGACAGTTACAAAAAATACATCCAAAAATATGAGCTGGGGTCATCAGCTGACCCCTGTTCCATATGCAACTGATAAAATAACAATGGTTATTTCTGTGATGGTCCCTATAAATTGTTAATTTAAAAGGCCAATGTTGTTAAAAATAGCCGTTTTGTTTAATTTTTAGCCAACAACCAAAACTTGCCAAAAAAATATACAAGGCAGTCAAAATTAAGTGTTAAATTTAAAAATAGCATGTAATGAGAGTGGTTATATTGACACCAATTATATTAATATAATTAGTTATGCCGATAAGAGAAATCAGTTATTGTTTCATAGATTAATAATATCTAATTATTGTTATTTTTAACGATCCTAACCTAAAACCTGATTAAATAGTGATTTCTGAGAGTAAATTATATTAAAAATCCATTGTCAATGCGTTTACTAAAGAACGGCGTAGGCATAACGAACCGCTAGGTCAATGAATGTAGAGAATAGCCGAGAAATCTCGGAGAAGAATGAAAATTGTAATGAAATTTCTGATGTAAAATTTTACTTACTCGTAATCTCGGAACACTTCTCCGGTGATTTCGCAGTAAAAGACTTCTTCATCGTCCCTCAAAAGGGTCGTTGAAGTCTTTTCAAATGATTTTTTCTTTAGCAGAGGCATTCTTCAAGCATGCACGACTATTTGGAGGGAAAACTGTTTGTGTTGTACAGCATAGAAAATAACTAGTTTCACACAATAATTTACACTAACACCGATATCAACGAGAAAGGAAATTTGTCAACAATAAGTAAACGTTGTAAATATGGTTTTAAATAAATAATTAACAAACATTCGACTTTTAAACCGTAACTGACAAGGAAACGTCTCGTCCTTTAGTCGGCTTCAGTTATTTCTGATAATGCGCATGCTCAAACATGCAGGTGATTGGAAAAAAGGCGCGCATGTCTGAACGGAAGTGGGACCCTTGTATACACTGAACTGCATGCGCCGTGTATCACGCAATATTTAAATCTTTATTAAAATATATCGAAATTAACGATTCCAAAACTCATTTTATGTTCCATATATATATATAAATTGTACGAACAATTGAAACCACGCCAAAAATATTTTTGTAAAGCATAATAAACCATGTTTTTTAAGGTTTAAATTTAACAGTATCTTTAAGTTAAACCATTTGGTGTAATTGTGTACCAGCATAGTAAATATTACCATTATTAACGATTAAACATATTAATAATTTCCCAAGCTTAATATAAGTTTAAGTAAATATACATGTGGCCCATTATTCAGCAACTTAAAAAAGATAATTTGGCAGATTTACAGAATTTTGCCCATTTTTTAATTTTGTTTCTTATTTGTTTATACTATTAAATAAAATTATAAGGTGTTTTAATTAAAAGAAACATTCTTAAACCAAATTATTTATTATGTTAATAAAAAAGACAAAATTACAAAATTAATCTTCATAGAATTTGGGCAGATCAGTTCCCAGGATAACTCTCCTTTCAATTCCTTTTTCTGTAATGATTCCCAAGCGAACAACACCTCCAGATGAACCATCTCTTGACATAGCCAATGCCAAAGCTAGAAAAAAATATTTATTACTAAAAAACCTAAATCAAAACAAACCCCTTACTGTTTGTAACAAATTTAACACAATCCTCCTTAGACATTTTTGGTTTGAAGTTGGCATCAACATAACCATAAACATAACTGGAACCAGATCCTCCAATAGAAACATTCTGTCTCACACACATACCTCCAATAGGAATCGAATAAATTTGACCTCCCTTGAGTTTATCCCAACCAGCCACCAAAATACCAGCCATTAAAGAATCTCTGTAATTGTAGCAGAGTTCCTTAAAAACAGCAGCTCCTACTTCTACTGGAGGCTCCTCTCCCAATTCCATACTAAAATAAATAATTTTATATTAAAACTACCAATAACCCACCAGTATTTAATCTTACCCATGGAAATTAAGATGGTATGAAACAATATCAGCAATTGCCTGGGTATCTGCAGCAGAACCTGATCTACAGCAGTAAATGTGATCAGTAACTTTAGTTAACTTATCAGTTACACGATTGGCAATATAAGCCCTAAAATAATACAAAATTTTAATATTTTATGATTTTAAAAGGATCATCACAGTTTACCCTGTTGTGGTTCTTGAATCAGCCCCAATAACTACGCCCCCATCAAATTCTGCTGCCATAATAGACGTCTGAAATACAAGTCATGTTGTAAAATTATTAAAATGATAAATATTTCGTTACTTACACCGGTACTATGGGCAGCATCCATCCAATCGTTTCCCATATTCATTTTCCTGTTGTTTAAAGCTTAAAACCTTTTAAAACCAATGAAAATAAAAAGTTTACGAACTTTCAGAAAACCGCTTGTAATGTTACTGTCAAATCTGTCACTTCTTCTTCTTCGTTTTCGAACATCGAAGTTTGATGTCAAAATTTGTCTTCTTCGTCTGTAAATGAGAAATACAATTTTGTTTTGATGCTGCCCTCTGTCGCTAATGTTTCGAATCAATAGTGTCAAAAATGAAAAAGATAAGAAAACGTCCAACTTACAAAAATTAATCACACAACTGTTATATATAGGTATATCTCTGCCGCAACATCTTTTTAAGCATAACAAAATTAGAAAATTTAAATTCTCTTAAATATCTCGTATAACTCGGAGAAAATAGTTAACTTCATAACCTAAAAATAATCGTAAACAAATAGTGACGTTCTTGGACACGTATTGTAACGGAGAAACTCTAATGAACGATTAAAAATCGCGAAATGAAACATAAACTGTTGTGCTTCGTGTTTTTCGCGTTGCTGTGCTGCGAATTTTCCGAGGAAAGCGTCCAACCGCCCACAGAGAAAAGCAAGAAGAAAGATGAGATACAAAAAGAACCCCAAAAAGAAAAATCCGAATTCGTAGCCTCTGAGGAGGACCATGAGGGGGCCTCGCCAATAAGAATTGAACCTGCACCTGATCTAACCAAGGAAAAACCACCCAAAGGTAAAATGTCCATATTGTATAGCCTTGTTTATAGCTAAAGGTTTATTGACGCCTTTAAGGCATATTTATGCTCACTTAAAATAAAAAATAAAAATAAAAAACAAGGAATAAGAAATAACGTCGCGATTGATCGTTCATGCTGATAACATAAGAAATAAAAAATGTAACCATTTAGTTGCAGGAGGTCTAATGATGGTAGTGTGTACAGTTAACTGTATTTTAGTTGTTATAGATGAAAATCAGATCTTACATTATAATCATAGGCTAAGATTATAATATGTCAATATAGTCCTTTGAAGATATAGTCTATGCCATGTTACCTACGTGACATTAACATTAACATTGTTTAGAATATCTGATAATAATAAATGTGATTATTTCCCTCATTATAATATGAACCAATCAAAAGCCTTGAATTTTCAAATAAATTTCGTTTAAATAAGCGATTAAATCACTATTTAACAGCGATTAAATTTTGGCCGTTGCTAGTCGTCCGTATATTCGGACGATTAATAAATTTTATTCATCCGATGATCGGACGATTAGACAAGTCGAAAGGCCGTTGCTAGTCGTCCGATCATCGGATGAATAAAATATATTAATCGTCCGTATATTCGGACGATTAATATATTTTATTCATCCGATGATCGGACGATTAGACAAGTCGAAAGGCCGTTGCTAGTCGTCCGTATAATCGGACGATTAAAATATATTAATCGTCCGGTAATAACATAAATAAATAATAAAAAGATTATCGGACTCAAACTCAACAACACAACCCAACCGACCCCGCCCCATTGGCCCCCCCCCCCCCGCCCCATTGAACAAAAAACCCAACTAAAATGGGCAAATTTATGTTACGATAAAAATAAAACACTTTTTAACAAAGCAACAACAAATTTATGAAATAAAAAAAGTTCGACAACTTCTAGTAGATTTTATGTTACGATAAAACTAAAACAAACCAACCAACCCAACCCAACCGAACACTGTTTAACAAAGAAACAACAAATTTATGAAATAAAAAAATAAAAAAAATTCGACAGCTTCTTAGTATCGAACCCGGGACCTCTCGCATGACAAGCGAACGCCCTACCATATAAGCTATCTAGCTTGTTGTCAAATATTAAACGGTCGGTGAACAAAAGCGAATTATAATTATGACGTAACTACCGTTATGTTATTACCGGACGAATAATATATATTAGTCGTCCGTATGTTCGGACGATTAATATATTTTATTCATCCGATGATCGGACGATTAGACAAGTCGTTAGCCTCCATATTGGATTTTTGTTTACGATTTTATGGTGTTATTTACAAGTTTTAACAAACATTTTTTTAAAAACAATAAAAAATAAGTTATCTAGTTTACGAAATATCAATTATTACTTATTCTGCCGTGCTTAATGAAAACGCCGTAACCAACAATTTTGCGATTTTTGTTTTACAGCATTTTCTACTAGAACAATTCATCCTGTGTCTATCCCCGGTACTCAAAAAACCGTATATATATAGATACGGTTTTTTGAGTACCGAGGATAGACGCAGGATGAATTGTTCTAGTAGAAAATGCCGTAAAACAAAAATCGCAAAATTGTTGGTTACGGCGTTTTCATTAAGCACGGCAGTATTATACTTACATACCTTAAATTAATGAAATTTTCTTTAAAAAAATATTTATAAATTTTGACACATACGTCAGATTTTATGAATTGTCAAATAGTTTCCACAGATAGTTTCCTTTAATTCGAGAAATAATCTAGACGTATATCACTCAACCTATAAATTTAATCTGACAAAAACTATGCTCAGTAAGTTTTTTATTTGATTTTTCTTTTTGGAAAATAGTTTCATGCAAAATAATTAAAAATAAAACCCATCGACCGCTACGCTACGCGGTCTCGTGATTTTATTAAATTATTTTGCATTCAACATTTTCCAAGAAAAACCAAACAAAAAACTACTGAGCCTAGTTTAACCGATTAAATTCATAGCTCTCGTGATATAATATATGATTACAAAAAATTATAATAGATAAATATAGGTAGGGTACCTAGCAACAAGTGTGACAGTGGCATAACTACCGGTGTTCCAGGCCCCCAAGCTTTGGGGGCCCCTTCTGAAGCAAAAAATATGAATGTACAAAATTTAGTGACAGCATTTGCAAATGCAAAAGCCTCGGCAAAAGCTGGAAAAAAATATTTTTAAATAATCAAACATGTAATGTGACTGTTTACTGATGATACATTTTTTCTACACTGAATAATTTCTTTTTCTAAAAAAGAGGGGGGTCCAACACTTTCCCAAACACAAGTTTTATTGACCTAGTTACGCCACTGAAGGGTGATGACCCACATTACTCATAAATATATCTAAAATATTGAATGAATATTTTTGCTAAATGGACCAAATATTTTAGAAATATTAGTAATTATCATTTAAATGTCTCTAAAATGTTTTTACAACATTTAAATGTCCCACTTTTTATATTTATAATATATTTTTTCACAACATTTTTAAAGCATTTTTGTAGGTAAATGTTTTATATTTTATTAATGTTTCCTCAGCATCACAGAAATATCTGGAAATATTTACTGTTCATTGCATATTTATTTTAATGTTATTTATGTTGTAAATGTTGATAAAATTTTGCATTTATATTTATAAAAGCCATGTGACACCCAATACTTTTTGTTTACTAAATTGTCTTGTTTTGGAGTGCAAAAAGTAGATGTGAGATGGTATTCTTGGTATAATTGTATTATTATTATTATGGTATTATTTGCACCCCAAAAATACAAAAAAAATTAAAAAAGATTATTTTAGAAATAATTGATATAAATAAAAGTAAAATAATATTTATTATATAAAATAAAAATTGTTTGGAAAAAATTACAGAAATAAAAGAATATTTTTCTTTCTATAGAGTCATTCCACGTTACTCGGGGATTTTTGTCCCGCCTGTCACAATTAAAAATTGTGAGTAAAAACTACACGTTATAAAATTTATTTCAAAATATTGTTTTATTATGCTTTTAATAGGTTATAAGCACAATAAAAATAATATTATAAAATATTAATTTTATAACTTAACGTGGAATACCCCTTGGTTTTTCTTTAAAAGTTTCTTTTTGACTTTGTTTTTCCAAATTTAGCTTGAGCTAGCCATTGTCGTAACTCCGGTAAAATAACATTTTCCCTCGCAGTTTAGGTTTTCGAATTTTTACAGATGGTGGCTAAAAATAATTTAATTTAAATTAAAGTCTTCAGTTCAATCCCGTTCGGGAAAATTATGTACTTTTTTTGATTTTAAAAATTAAAAAACAATAATAATTTTTTTATTTTTCTAAGCGATTTTATTTGGTTTATGTTTTTTTTGTTAATTAACATTATTATTAATAAGAAATTTACCGATGGCAATATAATTTTAAGGTACAGTACACTGCCATTCATAAATATCAATAATAATCTTAACAATAAAAATAAATCTAAAACATAACTATACGCTAAAGAAGTATCGGGTTTTCGCACATACTTCGATGTGGACGGGACAAGATAAATCTTTTTTTGTCCCGTCCAGACCTTTCAATTATTAAAATTATTTCTACTTTTATAAAATATTCCTTGGGTTTTTTTAAATTTAATATAATATATAACCTAATAAAAGAAGACTATTTTTGACAATTTTGATACCAAAATATTATAAAAAAAGTTTTGTAATTCGTGCGTTTCGCGCGCTTGAAATGGCCGTTTAGCGGTCGAGCCTCAGACAACAGATACCTTATTATTGAGAGGGCGCTTACATCAAAAAACTTTTAATGAATTTTTCAATAAGTTTATAATAATAATTTAACAATATTTAGGAAATAATATTTACATAAAATTGCGAAATAAATGTTGAAAAATATTCACTTAAATGAATGTTTCAGAAATATTTATGCGTAACAGTTATAAAAATATTTTCCCTTAAAGTTCACACAACATTTCATCAACCTTTCATTTATAAATATTGTTTTCCAAACAGCCTGACAACATTTTAAAACATATTGTGTTATGTATGTAATTTAGATCAATTTGATCTAAATCATCTTAATGACTACCGTAAAGCTTAAAATTTTTGTGGTTTTATTAAAATTGTTTGTTAAACATTGAATATTGTATACCAAAATTTAAGTCTTGAGTTGCTCTTTCATAATAACTATGTTATAATATTACATAGGGCTGAGTTAAAATTAAAAACTGGGTGTGCAAAGTTCCCCCTTGGTTGCGGGTAACTTTGTCTCACAGTGTATTTTCTGTATACAGGGTGTTTCTTTTAACTTGAGACAGCTCAATATCTCGAGAAATACGCATTTTACGGGAAAATGTCTTAAATAAAAGGTTAATGTGACTAAAGGGGACATTATTTGGTGCTACCGCTAGCCACCCCCTACCCCTCCTTAAGGGTGAAACGGGGGGTAACTTTGGAAAGTCAAATGGAATGACCCGATTTTTTTCACAGAGTTTGGTAGTACATAAAAAAATAAATAACTTTTGTTTAAAACTTTTTTCAATTTATCAACAGATGGCGCTGTAATTCAAAATTTAAGAAAAATGAGTTTCCTTGTAAAATGTATTATTTGAAACGTTTGAAAAACAAAAATTAACATTAAAAACAATAGTCGGCTATGAAAACAATTTATAACAAATGTTCGAAATGTCGTCATTCCATTTCAACACATTTTTGAATGCGGGTAATGAATTCTGGCACACAACGCGCCAACATATCGGGCGGTATCGCCGCACAGGCGTTCCTGATCCGCTCCACCATGTCTAGGGGCAACTAAATTATGCGTTTGAAAACTTCAAATTATGCGCAGGAATTGTGCCATTTTATGCGGGCAAAATTGGAAAAATATGCGCCAATTATGCGGGCAAAAATAAGGAATTATGCGAAATTAAGAAATAAGCGAAAAGTATGTGTACTTTATCAGGGCTCCCAGCAGGTAGTTTTTTTA